CCACTTACAACATTAACGGCTTCTTCCTTCGTGTTTAATACTTCGATTTGCTGTCAATCGAACGAGGCAGCGATTGAAAACAAAATATAAAAAGAAATGGGAAGAAACAAAAACCTAGCGAACTCTGTCCTTTACGACGCTAATATAATCTGTCCGCCATTTTCTTGCCAGTTTAGCGGTGACGCAAAGGAATGAAATTGATCAAATCCAGAAAAGAGAAAACAAGAACTTTTATGGATAACGATAAAGACAAAATAAGAACACCACGTTAATTTTACCGAAAAATATACATCATTCAAAATTATATATGAGTAATAATCTTTCTAAAGCTGAGTGTTTAGCTGAATCAGTTATTCGTTTATAAAGCCATTCTATTTTTATAGCCGCCTTTTTGTTTATTATTTGAGAATATGTTTACAGTTCAATGTTATTTTTAATAGGCTTAATAGGAATAGCCACCATCGATTTTTATTTTATTTTTTTTTTAATTATACTGAACGACATTACTTGTTCGAAGGGAAATTTCCCAGCTCCATCATTCGCACGGTGCTAGGGTAATCTGATAAATGTCTGATATTTCTTCGGATTTTTATTACAATCATTTAAATTTAATAATAGCCTTGGATTTATTTATATTCTTTTGTTTTGGACATGATATAAAGTGGATTTCTTACGAGAATTAAAAATGAAGAATATCTCATAGACGTAATCAAGTTTGGGTAAACAATTTATTATCTGTGTTTGGGGATCATAAGTAGTTGTTTATTACGACGAACTAGAATTTGCATATAGTGTTACTGCACAGTGTTACGTTGAACAATTGGGTCCCTTGAATGTTAAACTGGAGAGGAGAAAAGATATTTCCTCAAACAAAGACGCCTGGACCGTGAAGCAATTTCAATGGACAACCATGAAAGTGGGGATGGAAATTTCTTCCACATGTGACTTATTCGCCAGACCTGCCATCCTCAAAATATTACGTAATTTCCAGATTTGATCAGTGATCTCAAAAAGGTCTAGGTTTTGAAAAATTCTTTGAAGAATTAATCGAGTAAATGTAGAAACTGATAAAGCCAAAACTGACATACATCGTCAGAATATTGAAAACTGACCTCGAAAATTACAGTGGACCTACAACAACGTAATAATGAACATGACTTACAACAGAAAACTACTGAAAATTTAGGTACAGCGGTAAAATTGATATATAATATTATAATATTGTCAATTGACGCACCACATTCAAATTGACGTATAGCATAATATTGTAAAATGACGTACAATCTTCTCATAAATATAATATTGAACATTGACGTACAACTGAAAAATGAGGTATAATGGTATAAAATTAACTAATGACATATAACATTAAAATGTATGAATAACACGATAATATAAAATAATTACGTACAGCATTAAAATTGACGGACAATACTAACATTTATACAAAGCGATTCACTATGAGTAGCTTAGATGTGACACAAGGTTAAATGCACAGAGTACTCAATGAGAATAGAACTCCCTACTCAGTCATAATTAACTCGCTTGCTAACCTTTGCACGACGTCGAAGCTCACGATATGCGCATAAATATAATATTGAAAATTGATGTACAACACTAACATTGATGGATAACTATAATATTGAAAATTGACTCGCAGCAATAAAACTGGCAACATCGGCATAATATTGTAAATTTACGGATAAACATAATATTGAAAAGTGACGTACAAAAAAAAAGATGTCGGCAATAGATTAAAATTTTACGCTCAGGAAAAATATCCATATTGACAATAGTAAATGATACAACATAAGAAAGAAGAAAATCCTTTTTGATAAGGCCAACAAATCTATCTTTGTGTATCTGCAACTTCAGTGCTACATGCTAATGCATTTTTATTATTATTATTATTAATAATAATAATAATAATTGATCTGTTATATTTACTGGTCGCTCATATCCCAATATAATGTGTCTGCTAGGACGACTAGCCAATTTTTTTGAAGAAGTCTACTCATGCACGTAAGCAACGTCGAGTCTGGTCAGTACCTAGATGAGTGACCGCTTGAGAATACCAGCTGTTGTAGGCTTGGATGTGCGTGTGATGTTATGGATAACGGCTTGGAATTGGAAATCGTCGAGTTTCTGTTCCAATTCGTGATTGTTGTATTGCACAAAAACCCTTGGGAAATGTAAGAGTCTATTTTCCCCTCCAGTTATGGGTTAATTAGTCGGACTCGTAAATCATTATTATTTCCAAAACATTCTTACAGTCTAAAAATATTTTCTAACTTTAAATAGCCTGGAAAAATTTGTCACCCATAAAAAACTAAATCAGTTATTCAATCACAGACCCCATCTGTGGCTTATACTGCAATTACGCTGAGCGAATTTTCGTTACAGCATTTGGGAGAAAGTGTATCATCTGGCGTGATCAACAGTTTCAGAAACGCCAGCACGCTCAGACCCTCTGTCAAGATGAAGAGTCACTTCGTACAAGCACGACCATCGAAGGACAATTTTGACTACACAATTTCAGCCAGTGGTATGGTTTTCAGATATTTCCCGAATGTGCAACATGATTGGTCGCTTTCTCAGGACGATTGTATACAAAGTCACTTTCACGACAAATTGACAACGGTGAAATTCAAAACCTGATCTCAGGTTAGGAAATCGAAAGTCCTAACTACTCAGCCACGCGCCTCATTTAATATTATTCACGGTATAATACACGGGCACTTAAATGAGACCTGACCGCAGTAAATAATGAAATACTTCATATTTTTGTCTTTTACACATTCGTAGTTTAATTTTTTTTTTATTAAATCCGTTGTGCATTTATAATTTATGAACAGTGAATCGATAACACACTAAGCAATGAGATGTGAAAAATAACGCATAGATTTAAGTTAATGCCGGATATTAACTGAATACAGAAAATAAAAAATATATACATATTAAAATTTAAAGGAAAACAGTGTGGTCATTAGCTAGAATTACAAAAAAAAGTTGCGTGCTATGAATTGGAGACGTACGCCTGAAACAGGTAAAGAAATTTACTTTTAGTTTTATAAAATAATGAGCGAGAATGATACACTGAATCCGGAAGCACGTTCGAATCGCAAAAGAAGTCATGGAAAAGATAAACTAAGTAATACAAGGAGCAAAGCTTTTGATAGTAAAAGAAAAAGACTGCACTGTTATGTAGTATGAGTCCTCCTATATGGCAGTGAATGATGGACAATCTCCTCACAGATGAAGAAGAGACTTGTGGTAATAGGTATGTAGTTCCACTGGAAATATTATGAAAAGAAATTTGGCAGAAATTTTTAAAAAAATGGAAATAAAAAAGTTACTTAAAATTATGAAGAGACTGATTAAATTTAATACATAATAAAGAAAGAGGGATTGGAGAATTTGACACTTTTGGTAACAATCAGCATAGGAATGAATGCAAATCCGCTTTTACAAATTTATAGACAAATCATACAGATACCTGCAGCCATTTCTTTCAAATCAATAAGATGGACCATTTCTCTGTTTCATCCGCCACTTTTTTGCTCTTGATGTCAGAACGCTAGTAGTTACGTGTCTCTATCCTTTTTATGTGTTAAAACCATTCTGACTTTGTGAAATTTTTGCTCTATTACTCTTGCTTTGCCTAGTATTTTTTTATATATTGTTTGCCCAGTATTATTTTCTCCTGTTTTTTTGTTATTGTTTATTGGTAATTCTGTCAATTCCGCTTGTTAGGAAATTTTTGCCAATGACACTTAAACATGAATAATTCTACATACACTAACAAGATATATGGAAGGCAAGAATGACAGAGGAAAGCAGCTATTAATCTAGCTAAATAGCTTGTGTATATAGACAACAGAACAAGGACCGGGAAGAAACCATGAGGGGTAAACAGAAGTTTTAACTAAAAGGGATAGGAAATTGTGGGGGGGGCGCATTTTTTAAAAAAGACGAAATATTGCAAGCTTATATACTGCAATGTCGATATTTTCAGGGAAAGATTTCAGATGAACTGCATTCCTTAGTTCAAACAGTTTTAATATTCACGGCTAAGAACCAATATATCACGCAGAATATGGCGAGCTAACCTCATTCCCTTCGTATTAAGTCCAACTCGAGCAGCTTCTTCTCGTGGAACCGACTATATATATATATATATATATATATATATATATATATACACACACACACACACACACACACATATATATATATATATATATATATATATATATATATATATATATATATATTCGTATACAGACACACACACACACACATTATATATATATATATATATATATATATATATGTAATTAAAATATAGTTTTATGTATGCTATATTTATGGATAAAAGTACTCACTATCAGGGATAGAGCGTACGTAAATGTGACACTGGGCATTGAGCTCAACACCCAGCGAACAGACTGTCGCCGCTGAGTGTTGACTTCAATGTCCATTTCCCTTCCTCAATGTAGAAGCCATGATAAAATTCCCAAAGCACAGAAATAGGCCATGGAAAACACAAAATTACTTTCAGTATTTTATATTTACTAAAGTATAACCCTTTGCGGAGGGGGAATTTCAACGTAGTGTAAATGTTACCAAGTTTATCTCGATAGATAAGTTACGATTGAATAGGGAGGTCGATACTCACTGGGTGCCATATGCTGTCGGCCTTGTGCTACTTCTAAGCTACGCTTTGATAATCACTATAACACATATTGTAAATGCAAATTTATAATTTCCTTCTACTGTTGAAATATGTAAAATCCGATTTCTCAGCTTGTTCATAACTTCGCCTGTTTTGAGCATCCGCCAAAGTTCTCGGTAAACGAAAAGTTTAAATATTTCTTTCTTTTTTCATTGCTTTTCTTTTTCAGTCTTTTGACATATGCTTTTCACAGTTGTTTACGTGAATGACTTTTTCTTGGGTGCAGTGTACTGATTAAAATATAAAAAAAAAAATCACCTTTTAGGAAACGTCGAAGATCAGTGTCTGTTTTTCCTGTCTTTCGAAGACGACTATCGCGGTAACTGTTCAACCAGAAGCAGAGACGAGCTGGTGACATTTGGAATTTTCATGGTGCAAAAGGTCAAATCATCTCTTCGAAACGACGCCATGTGAGCGGCAGCAGCAGATGGGCCAAGATGCTCAGTCGTGATCTGTGTGTTCGCGCAGCGGGGTGACTGCCAGAACACTTGAAGCAAAGAAATGCGATTGCCTCCACTTTTCAACCCATCAATTGTTGGCGGCCATTGTGTGCACTGGCATCGTGCATGCATTCGTGCTGTGTGCATGTGTGGGAGGGACATTTGACGGTGAAAAGGATTCTGGGAAGAAAACCTTGCAGATGTCGGGTTGGCGACCTCACGAAGAATTATTATTCAGAAAGGTGCCATTTTTTTTAAATAACATTAAATAAGTAGAGAACTAAAGAAGCCTTTCAAAAATGAAATATGTTCTGTTTTGTCATTTCCCTTAGGTTTGCCATGAAGCGAGTCTAAAAAAAGATGCCAACTTTTCTTCGTATTTTAATATAAAGGAATAAAAAAAAAAGAGATGAAATTTGGCTGAAAATTTTAAAAATATAGTTTTGGTTAAATAATTAAATGTGAACTTTGATATCTGTTTGATTGTTTACTTATTCAAATATTTTCCGAATCAGGCTCAAAAGTTCAGCCATTCTCTCCGTTTTAACGATAACTCCCCAATAATGGCTTGCATTACAGTCTAACGTATTTTTCAGATTTTAAACGTAATAACAAATGTCAGGTTGTTTATTAATTGTTATCTTTATAATATATTTTATCACAAATAACTATCTTACCGATTTCTTACTGAAGTAAGCAATTTAAATAAGATTTTATTAAGAACATATTTTATGCATCCTCTCATTTCAATACGTTTTTTTTTATAATAACATACACCCTATACAAGCCCCGAGAGACACACGAAGTAGAAAGTGACAGAGAAAGGAGCAGATCTAACAACAATATCTAGGAAAGATAACGGTTAACCCTAGGCGTAAACAGGTTAACATTGTAATGATCGAGGAAGCATCATCTTTTTTTTTGTGTTTTCGATACGCTATTTTTGTGCTTTGGGAATTTTGTCATGGCTTCTACATATTTCAGTTGCCATTGAAGAATTGAATTGGACTCAGTGGCGACCGTATGTTTCATGCTCAAACGCAATCATATGTCCGCTGGGTGTTGAGATCAATGTCCAGTGTCACATTTGCATACGATCGATCCCTGATAGTGAGCACTTTAATCCATAAATATAGCATACTTTATATATATATATATATATATATATATATATATATATATATATATATAGATAGATAGATAGATAGATAGATAGATAGATAGAGTGAGTGAAAAGGAGAGAGTAAGTTCCATGTGAGAAGAAGCTGCTCGAAGTTATTACAAATGTAATGAGGTTGGCTCGACATATTGTGCGTGGCATACTGGGGTCTTAGCCGTGAATGCTATGCCTTCAGTATATCTTGTTAGTATATGTAGAGCTATCCATGGTTGAGTGTAATTGGGAAAATGCTTAAAAAGCGGAATTGACAGAATTGCCAGTAAACAATAAGGTGGGGAGGAAGATCTGGTTTAAAGATCTCATTGAGGTGTGAAATTGACTCTCCTTTTAGTATTGTCCTTATGCCCTACCTATACCACTAAACGCACCATCGCTGATAGTAAGCACGTGTCCCCTATGAATCAACCAAATGTTCATATATATATATATATATATATATATATATATATATATATATATATATATATTAGAGGAAACTATAACTATGTCAAAGCTTGAAAGATTTCCTATGACATGTTTCGACCTTTTGTACTTCACCGAACAAACGTGATGCTTATATTAATTCGACAACACATGAAGTTCCAAAGGAGGAAACGTGTCACAATTAAATTTTCCCACTTTTACTTAGTTTTCTTTAAAATTGTTCTTGTTATATAAAAAATAAATACATTGTGTAGCCCTCTGTTGATCAGTTTTAATAATTAATATTACTAGGATCCACCCGGATTATATATAATCGGATCGATTATCTCTACTATATATATATATATATATATATATATATATATATATATATATATATATAGAGAGAGAGAGAAAGAGAGAGAGAGTCATCCACAGACAGACTATTTCACATCTCAGGAGTGTGGATAGTCATCCAATTACCTCAAACGCGACTGATTTTGTAACAGTTGGAGATTATATCACTAAGCCATTTGCGCATGTCATGAATGAATGTATACGTATTTATTTTTAGACAAACATGCCAGTGACCGGAGAACTCGATTCGTCTTAACGAAGAGTCTTGCATCACCAGCAGTAGTGATCACTGTTTACAAATTCACTTTTCTCGCCGAAGATTTCAACCGAAATGAGTTTTTCAGAAGCATGTATATATATTGTCATCAACAGACAGACTGTTTCGCTATTTCACAGTTCATCAGTGTGGCTAGACATCCGATTACCTCAAGATATCGCACATTGAGGGCTTGTGCTAATGGGACAGTGTTCGATGTCTAATAACCGGGGGATAATTTATATAAAAGCTGTTTTATTAATATATATATCTCCATTCATTTCTAATTAAACGACGAAATATTTGATTGGGACAGCCTCTTGATCGGGCGTAGAAATTTACAGTGCACTCTGGTATAAAGATTCAATAGAAGTTCAATCAGTTTGCAGTCTGACACGATAGTCAGCACGAATTTATAAACTCTATTATTATTATTATTTCTTTATTTTTATTTCTGAATTCATTAAATTATTAATTCATAAGTTTTATTCTTTTCTTAAATCTTTATATCTATATATTTATATCTATATAAGTAATTTTATTAATTCCACCATATTGATTTTTCTTTCTTTTTTTACTTTTATTTTCAGGATCTACCTAGCTTCTTTCTTTGTTTCTTTCTTTTTCTTTCTTTCTTTCAAGATATACATATCTTCTTTCTTTCTGTCTGTCTTTCTTTCTTCCTTTCTTTCAGGATCTACCTATCTTCTTTCTTTCTTTCAGGGTATACCTATCTTCTTTCTTTGTTTCTTTGATTGTTTCTTTTTTTAGGATCTACCTAGCTTCTTTTTTTGTTTCTTTCTTTTTTCTTTCTTTCTTTCACGATATACATCTTTCTTTCTGTCTGTCTTTCTTTCTTCCTTTCTTTCAGGGTATACCTATCTTCTTTCTTTGTTTGATTGTTTCTTTTTTTTAGGATATAACTATCATCTTTCTTTGCTTCTTTCCTTCTATCTCGACAAATAGAAATGTTGGATTAAGTGCACTGACAAGGAAACACATTACATAAAAAAATAAATACTTACTGGAAGAATTAAACGATGTATTCGAAATTATAATAAGAACTATTTTATGTACCTATGTATTCATGGTGCGATGTGAAAATTGTCTTCATCGCACCGGCGCCTTGTTTGTTTGTTTTTTTTTATTTATTTTGTCTACTTCACATTATAGTATGGTCTGTTGGACGCCGTCTGTGAGAAAAATAGTAATATGTCGCAATTCACTGCTCCAGAAATTTGGAAACAACAAACTGTATTTCTTGGCATTCGCGTCGGAAGCTCCAATACGAACATTTCAGAGTGTTTGGGTGTCAATATGAGGATTCGGAATGAGATAGATGAGTCTAATGGTGATTACGTTGGTACGGCAGCTTTGAAAACTAGCTCTGATCATTCTGATAAGAAAAGAAATCGCGCATTTGTTGGTGAAGCCCACAACCTCAACACGGAGGACTATATCAAGTGCCTTGAAGAGGCAGTGCTTCCCTGGGTCAAGAGGGTGGCTGCTGGAAGTATCTATGTCTGGCAACAGGACACTGCACTATGCCACACAACTAGGAGAATGCAGTCATGGCTCTCAGACAATTTCTGTGACCACATCACCACTTACATCTGGTCACCCAACTCCTTAATCATTATGTGTGTGGCGGAGGTGAGCGAGAAAGGAGTATAACTTGCAAAACCATAGATGAAGACAAGTATTATGACAGCATTCATCAACTTAAAAAAAGGGAAACAATCCAGAAGAGGTGCAAAAGATTCCGAAGTTGTCTGGATTTCGTAGTTAAAGCAAATGGCGATTTTATTGAATACATTTAATCCTAAGTATTTCAGCACAGTTTTATGTAAATTTGGTAAATATATCTGTTAAAATGAGATGCTAGATGATTTTGAATTTTTATTAATTTGACAATTTATCCATCGAACCGTGTGTATATATGTAAGAACATATCTATATATATATATATATATATATATATATATATATATATATATATATATATATACAATAATATATATGTGTGTGTGTGTGTGAAAAAGAAAAATGATCCCAGAAAATCTTGTGTAAGTTATAAATTGTGTTCTACAAATGTCAAACTTCAGATAGAAAAATGTGTCGAAAGTTAATTTTGTTGCATGGCAATGTCTGCCTCGTACATCAAATTCAGTGCACAATCATGCGAGTAGTGATGGAAATTTCTTCCACATGGATTACTCCTCAGACATGTCATTCTCAATATGCTATGCATAACATCAGATTTGATCCACGATCTAAACACATTCAGGATGTTTTTAAAATTCCTTGAATAATTAATCGAATAAAATGTAGAAACTTATAATGGTGAAATGAAAAAATGAGTTGGATTGCACTAGATCAAGACTTTAAGAAATGCGTTCTGCGATACTGTTAATTATCTGAAAGAATACTTATAATTAAACGAAAAGGAAAGTCATTCAACATAGCTATTATCATAGTATATGCACCGACAGTACAAAGTACGGAAGACGAAATCGAATTTTCCTACTCTATTCTAGAAAACGTCAAGGTCCAATTCAAATCACAAGAAGTTATAGTTATCATGGGAGACCTGAATGGCAACGTAGACAGTGAGAGGGCGAGAAGGTAACTGATGAAGAAAAAATGAATGACTCACATATGAAATATTCGACATTATGCCAAGGAAACAGAAAACAATGCCAAGACATGGAACGGAATACAAAAACTACACAATAAAATAAGGAACAAATGCAGGCAGGCTAAAGAAAAATGACTCAACTAGAAATAGAGAGAATTGATATAACAGATAATGGAGATATGCATAAAAAAATAAAGGAAATAGCAGGACAGAATATATGCTCATCAACAGGCTGCATAAATTCCAAGGACAGAACGCACACATTAGAGAAAGAAAGAAAAATATCAGCGCTGGAACGAATATATTGGAGATCACTTCCACGACGAACAACCTGCGATACACAGAAATACGACGAGCCGGAAATACAAAAAAAAAAAAAAAAAACCCGAAGCGGACGTTGCACTAGCCAAATTGAACAAAAACAAAGCGATGGGGCCAGACAGAATTTTAATAAAGTTGCTGGCAGTCTTAGATGATTTCCGTATAGAAAAGATTACAGAAATAATAAATGGAATCTATAACAATGGTGATATACCGGAAGACGTTAGCAGATCTATTTTCATAGCACTGCCTAAGAATCCAGGCGTAAACAAATTTGAACTCCATTGAACAATCAGGCTAATGAGTCACATAACAAATCCGAATTCTAATGAATAGAGCGCGTAGCAGAATCAGGCCAGAGATAGGACAAGAACAGTGCGAAAGACACTGGAACAAGGAACACGATATTTATTTTTAGAATCTTATCAGAAATATAGGTCTATAGACTATTCAAATGCGCCCGACAAAGAACACCAGAAAGATCAGTTAGAACTGCTCAGCAAACTTGACATATTCGGGAAAGACTTTAGAATAAGCAAAAATCTCTATTGATTGCAAACCGCCTGCATACGTCTAAAAAATGAATTCATCAGATATACAAAAATAGAAAGGGGTGTAAGGCAAGGATCTGTTTTCTTACCGGAAGTATTCAACCTATACAGCGAGGCGACTGGATTTATCATTGGCGGCCACAATCTTAACAATATAAGATATGCAGATGACACAGTTCTGATAACAGACACGGAAAGGAAACTACAAAACCTCCAACAGAAGGTAGCGAAGGAGTGTGAGAAGATGACAACTAAGCATAAACTACAAGAGATAATGCATGGCCATCAGCAAAAGATGAGACCAAAATGCAATTTACATGTCGGTGACACTAAAATCGAACAGGTATAGATATTTATATATCTCGGAAGTGATCTAACAGAGGACGGAAAGTGCAACACTGAGATCCGAAGACGTTTTAGGATGACGATAAACCCATTCCAAAAGCTAAGTAGAGTATTACGAAACAGAAAAGGTGTACTGAACTGTTGCGTCATATCTGTCCTCTGTATGTCAGCGAATGCTAGACAATGACCTCAATGACGAAGAAGAGACACGAAGCAACAGAAATGTGGTTCTACAGAAGGATGCTGAAGATACCATGGGCCGAACCTGGGAGCAACAACGATGTTTTGGAGAGAATGGGAACAAAGGAAACATATTCTTAACATCAGGAAGAGACTGCTGAAATTTCAAGGACACCTAATGAGACAACTTGGAAAATCTGATACTCACAGGACGGATAGAGGAAAACAACACGTGACATGCTTGAACAAGTGGGTGGCAGAATAGGGTCTGGGAGAAATAGCAAAATGACAAAAGTTTTAAGAGTTACGAGGGACAGGAGGAGGTGGTGGGCTATGACCGTCTACGTCCCGAAAGGACACGGCGCATAAAAGAAGAATTTCACTAAGAACACAATCTAGATGATTTTCCAAGACAAATATCAGCAACTCAATTAATTTTTAGAATTCATGAATATCGGATCTAGAATAGAATGCTTTTAGTTTGGTTTCAAGATTTTCTTTGTCAATCATGGGACATGCTTCAGCAGTCAGTACTATTGCCTCGTCCACCGCAAGAAAAGTTGGCTCCCTGTGCCGCGCCAGGAAAATTTTCTCCCCGGAATCGATCCTCCAGATCTACAAATCAACAATTCGCCCTTGCTTGGAGTATTGCTGCCATATATGGTCTGGTGCCCCTTCTGTTTGCTTCGGGGTTCTTGATAGGCTCCAGAGGCGGATATGCAATATAAATGGCCCTGTTCTGGCATCTCGTCTGCAGTCACTTTCTCACAGACGCGCCGTCGCCTCTCTCTGTCTGTTCGACAAATACTTTCATAGTAATTGCTTCGAGGAGCTGCATTCGCTGGTTCCCAGACTTCATGAGTTCCAGCGCCTTACGAGGCTGGCATCCCGCTCTCACCCTTTCACTGTAGAAACTTTTAAATATAGCCGTCTCTTCTACTCTAATAGCTTTATGTCTCGCACCTCTCGCCTGTGGAACTCCCTTCCCTATTCCAGTTTTCCTGAGAGCTATAATCTCCAGCTATTCAAGTTTAATGTCAATCGACATCTCCAGTTGCCTTGATCTATCCACTACCCTTCTCATCCTTTCTTCTATCACTCCTATCTGACCTCGCTCTATATTTTCAGTAACCCCTTGCGTCCTAGTGGCTTCCCACCTTACTTGGGGTGAAATGCTTAAAAAAAAAAGTAATTCATTTTTAAAACTAATGAAGCTTTTCTTGTTGAACAATGTAGCAGCTACTCAGTGTTTAGTGGAAGAATATCTGTTCATTATATCAGAACATATGCAGTCACTCACTTCCTTTGTTTCGGCCATCAGTGTCTTTGAAAGATTCTCACAGTCCTTTGAGTTTTTTATTTCTAAAATAACAGTTTTAAAATCTCTTACATATTCATTGACTTTAAAAACACTAATTTCTCGATATTGCATTTGGTTGTAATTTACTTCAGCATGAGGCATAATTTGATGAAAAACCTCTAAACAAAACATAAAATTATCATCATTCAGGTAATCTACAATTTCTGATGCTTCTGAAATGGTTTGATTTGCATTTGATGTTGACTGAATTTCAGTAAGGCATGTTTTTAAAGGTTGCAAATTTTCATGAACTCTGTTCACGATCCGTATGTTAAAGTCCCAGGGGATGTACGCGGCATGCTGACGTCCATATACTTCTTGAGAATGAATACACGTTGTGGTGATCTTGAGAAGAATGTTGGTGTAGCAAAAATGT